TTTTTTTCCTAGAGAGAAACCCATAGCTGTAGTGAGTTTCTTAACTCAAAAGGCAAAATATTTTTTTTTCAAAAGGCAAAATATTTGGCTGTTAAACCCTATTGTTAATCCATTGTGTGCCTTTAATCCAACAGTGTCCAATAGAATTTACTGTCGTTATGAAAATGTGCTGTTTCTTTCCTGTGCAGCATGGTAGCCAGTAGCCATATATAGCTGTTGAGCACTTAAAATCTTGCTAGTGAGGAACAGAGTTTTTCATTTTAATTAATTTAAATATAGATAGCCACGTGGGGCTAGTAATTACCAAATTTTGCAATATTTTAGACAAGTCACTTTAGAGCAGATATCCTTTTGGTCATCTCCGCTCTAACATGAAAGGAGCTTTGTATGCGAAGAAGTCTTGAAGATCATCTGGACTTGTTTTCTTTAAGTTGGAGGAAATGGCCCTTGTGAGAAAAAGTACTTTTACCTAGTTCTAAAATTCTGACCGTCAGTACTTCTAGAATAATAATAATGATGATGTAGTCCTTTCACTTAGTATTATTTCTGGAACACTAATTGAACTTACTTCACCATGTGATTTGTGTAATTAGAGGTTGGCAAACTATGGCCTATGGAGCAAATCCCGTCTCACAGTCAGTTTATGTCTCTATAGCCCATGACCTAGGGATGGTTTTTACATTTATAAATGGTTGAATAAGAACCAAAAGAAGAAAATCGTATGATAATTACATGAAATTCAAATCACAGTGTCCATAAATGAAGTTATATTGGAATACATCCACATTTATTCACTTGTGTTACCTGTGGCTGCTTTTGCATTCCAGTGGCTGAGTTGAGTAGTTGGAACAGGGACTGTATAGGCTACAGAGCTTAAAGTATTTACTGTCTGGCTCTTTACAAAAATATTTGCCTGATGCCTGGTATAAATGATCTTTGAAAATGAATTAGATACCAATCTACAAAAGAAATTGAGGTTAATAGGAGTGAGGCGATGTAGTCTAAGTTACATAATTCCAAAGTGGCAGAGAGCATTTTTATTTTTTTATTTTTATTAAAAAAAAATTTTTTTAACATTTATTTAGTTTTGAGAGACAGAGCAGAAGCAGGGGAGGGGCAAAGAGAGAGGGAGACACAGAATCCAAAGCAGGCTCCAGGCTCCAAGCTGTCAGCACAGAGCCTGATGCAGGACTCAAACTCACAAATGGTGAGATCATGACCTGAGCTGAAGTTGGACGCCTAACCGACTGAGCCACCCAGGTGTCCCCAGAGAGCATTTTTATATGAAGGCCTTTTTCACTTCAGAGGCAACTCTCCTAACCTATATACCAGGACAGATTGTGATGTGATTGTTGTCATCAAATATTTCAGATTTGATGAATTTGATGAAGCAATTGATGAAGCCATAGAAGATGATATCAAAGAAGCTGATGGAGGAGGTATGTGTTTTTCATTCCCTCTTTTTTGTATGACTAGACCAATAAGTTAAAATGTCCTGATTAGGAGCACCTGGCTGGCTCAGTCAGTAGAGCATGCAACTCGTGAGTTCAAGCCCCATGTTGGGTGTAGAGATTACTTTAAAAAAAAAAAAAAAGGCCCTGATTAAAGCAGTAAGCACTTTTTTTTAAATTCTCCCCAGTGTGTATCATGATCACTACTGATGTTAAATGTCTGAGATTTAAAATAATTTGTGGACATAGTGTCAGTGTGTAGACTCAGGTTTTGCTAATTATTTTTCAAGTAGTTTTTTGATCTGATATAAAACAGTAAATGTTCCTCTGTAGATTAAAAAATGTACTTCTGCATCTAAATAGAAAACCCAATTAAACTTTCTTGTTGTCTTTCTATGTCTAGATCACTACTGCTACAAAATCTTAAAAATTATGGACAAATCAGAATCGAAATGATTTCTATAAATCAACCTTTTAAAAATCAATGTTATCAATTTTGTAGTCTCTAATAAGTGACATAAAAATAGAAGGATTTGAAGGTAATTTATTGAAAGAACTGCATAGAGATTTACCAATGCTCTGAAAACTCTGGAGAGGATTAATATTAAGTAGGCTGTCTTTAGTGGACTGAAAAAGTCACCAGCTTTTCCAGGGCTCTGCACCTTATTGACAGCTTTGCTACGGGATTCTCACTTTTTCTGTCCTGCAAACACAGTTAAAAGAAAACGGATTGGTCTCTTTCTAAAGCCCTGTCCAAAAGACAACTTTGAAGAAGAGATTCTTGAGTGATTGCTACTAGGTATGAGGTTTCTTTAGAGGTCGATGAAAATGTTCTGGAATTTGTTCGTGGTGATGGTTGCACAACTTTGTGACTGTACTGGAAACCTCTGAAGTATACACTTTAAAAAGGTGGATAGTATAGTATATGAATTATATCAATTTTTTTTTTCAAAATTTTTTTTTAAAAAGAGGTGAACTTCTTCATAGGATAAACAAATGCAAAATTCTCTTGATGAGAGCTCTGTCGGCTGAAGTTGTGAGAAAAGTACTTATTTGTAGGAAAAAAACAAATGAGCTCCTAAGCATGAACAAGGACAGCCTCTACATAGTAAAGAGAAGATTTAATAAACATACAGTTGTCTCTCTTCCTCCCTCTCTCTATTCCCTTTAACCCTCTCCCCCAACCCTGAACCCAGGAGCCGGCCGAGGAAAGGATATCTCCACCATCACAGGTCACCGTGGGAAAGACATCTCCACTATTTTGGATGAAGAAAGAAAAGAAAATAAACGACCCCAGAGGGCAGCTGCTGCACGCCGGAAGAAACGCCGGCGACTAAATGACCTGGACAGTGACAGTAACCTGGATGAAGAAGAGAGTGAGGATGAATTCAAGATCAGTGATGGGTGCGTGGTTCGCTAGCAGATCCCAGTCCCTAGATACAGGCCTAAATGGGGCTAACAGAGAAGCTCAGCCATGCTGTGGTGGGACTTGTGTTCTTCATGCACATGGATAATGTCTTTTTATTTTCAAACTATTTAAAACAGATTCAAGAATGCTGATCTTTGGTTCTTTTTAGCAAAACGAAGTAGGCTTATGGTTGTTTAATATGCAAAATTGTGTTTACATTTTATTAACTGAAATCAAACATTCATTTGCTGCGTATCTCTGCCACCTTCCAGCAACATGTCCAGGAGAGGTTCCTGGACCTCAAATGTGAGAAATAGACAAGCAAAGGTAATTAGATACTATTGTCTGATGACCCACAGAGTTTTGGTCAGGGCAGGTAATCCAGTATGGAAGATCAGGAAAGATTTTCCTGCAGAACAAGAAACAACGTAGTTTCTCCTCTCAGATTGTTAGTGGAAGAAACAAACATACAAACCACAAAAAGTCATTCAGTGTGTGATTGTTACTAAAAAATATAGGTAAAGCCTAAGTTAGGGTACAAAGGAAGAGTCCAATAAATTTAGGGAGTTCAAGGAAAGCCTGGGAGTAGAAATAGAGCTTGATCTGAAATTTGAAGAATGAAAAACTGGGCAAATCAGTGAGTTTGAGATTGAAAGCATCCTATGAGAAGTCATGTGTCCAAGGCAGCAAGACATAAAACATCATGGAATATTTAGGAAACTCCTGGTATGTCAGGGTAGCAAGAACATGGGGAAGAAGAAGTAAAGACTGCCCTGCTGGAGATGTGACGAAGAGATAAAAAGGGCCCAGATGATGGAGTGATTTGTTAGTCATGCATAGGAATTCAGACTCTTTCCCTGAAGATGATGATAAAAGCCCACTGATTGGCATTTTAACAGCAGACTAATGAGGTTTATGTTTCAGAAGACTTCATCTTGGCCTTCATTTGGAGGATATATGGAGGGGAAATGAATCTAGAGACTAGAGAGACTCCCTGGAGAATTGCTGTAGTGATTTAGTGGGAGATGATTGCCTAAACAAGGAAGAGGGATCAGGTTTGAGATAATATCTTTAAGAGGTCAACTCAAGGAAGAGTTAATAATTTGTTAGATGTGAGAAATTAAAAGGGAGAAATTAGGAAAAATACCAGGTTTTTGGTTTGAGTTCCTGGATAGGTAATAGTACCAAATACAAGGCTAGGAGACACAAGAGAGGAATAGGTTAGGAAATAATGAGTTCTCTTTGGAACATGTTGAATTTAAGGTATGAGAGGGACATTCCAAGAGGCCAAAGTAATTTATAGTATGAAAATCAGCATCAGTTCATCTTAACGCCTCCTAAGAAAAGAATAGATGGTAAAACCTTTCTCCATTTTATTAACAGACAAATTGATAACAATTACCCAGGTATTTTACATTAACCATTACTTAAACAATTCACTGCACTTGGTAGAATTTGAACTCAGAATCTTAATTCATCTGGTTTCTCTTGAACAGATCTCAAGATGAGTTTGTTGTATCTGATGAAAACCCAGATGAGAGTGAAGAAGACCCACCGTCTAATGATGACAGCGACACTGATTTCTGTAGCCGAAGACTGAGGCGACATCCTTCCCGGCCAATGAGGCAAAGCAGGCGTTTGCGGAGAAAGACCCCAAAGAAAAAGTACTCTGATGATGATGAAGAGGAGGAGTCTGAAGAGAATAGTAGAGACTCTGGTAAAAAAAAATTGTGTTCTCATCACACCAACTCAGTAAATTCTTATGATTTCTGGAGTTAAGAGTCCTTAAGATAAAACTCCATTCAACTGTAATATAAGCTTTCTGATGAAACTTTGAATTCTCTTCTTATGATTAGTAACTAAATTTTTCACAGAAAGCACATAAAGCATATCTAAGAAAATGAATACAGGTGGATATGTCAACCGCGTACCAAATTCATTTAAGATCGTGATGAATTCTTCTGGCGCAAAGTGTTTCCATGCCTAGACTTATCTTCATAGTGTTTCTTTAGAATCATTCTCAAATAAGGTGAGAACATTTTACTCATATATCTAGCAGTTGGAAAGGAAGGATCACCAGTTATTGCTAACATTTAAATCTCTATCAGTGATTCATTCATTTTTATGAATTAGCAGTGGTTGATGTTCTTATATTTTATGCTAATCCCTATTAACTGATTAAATAGTGACCAGTACAGTAGCTAAAAGAACAGATATGAGTCCTTTTTTTTTTGTAGAATTGGCAGATAGGTAGCTGTCATCTCACTGAGGAAGTGTCACAACCGGGAAGAAATATTACATCCTTGACCTGGCCGGGCTTGTGGGCTTTTCTGTTTCATACATCTTTTTTTCTAAACCTCTTGAGTAAATGGAGACATCTTGCCTCTTTATCAGTGATTATTTCCTAAGAACAAGGACATTTTCAAACATAACCACAGTATAATTATCAAAATCAGACATTTTAACATTGATATATGGCTATTATCTAATTAACAGTATACATTCAGATTTCATCAGGTGTCCCAAGATTACCCTTTATATCAATTTCTTTTCCTAGTCCAGGGTCAAATCCAGGAGTACACATTGCATTTATTCATGTCTCTAGTCTCCTTTAATCTAGAATATTCCTCAAACTTTGTCTTTATTGATCTCCACAGTTTTAAAGAATACACAGTAGTTAATTTGTAAAATGTTCCTCAGTCTGGAGTATTTTTCTTTCCTTGTGATTAGATTCAGTGTACACATTTTTCAGCAAGAATATCACAGAGCTAATATATGTTCTCCGGGTCTCCATTATTTTTCCCTTTATAATTAACAGTAATTAGTAGGAAGGCATTTTTGAGACCTTATATATCCCATTTCTTTTCAGATGTTTTACTCATAGTTTTAGCATTCATTGATGATTTCCTAGCTCCATCACTCTTTTTACCTTTATTATTTGGTGTTCTGTAAGAAAGCACTTTCCCTTCTTCTCCATATATTTATTTCTTTATATCAGTATGTACTTGTGGATTCTTACTTTAGTCTGTGGATATAATATGTTACCATCGCTATGCTGGTTCAGTTTGTCCCAGATTTGGCCAGTAGGACTCCTTCAAACTAACTAGTTTGCCATTTTGAAGCCAATTTGGAATTTGTTAGCACTCCTGAAAAACAGCTCTAACACAGTGTCATGGTCGTGTTTACTTATCAGAGATGGTAAGGACAGTGCTATTTAGCTACACTTTGGAAGTTTCTCCCTGTGCTATAGCTAGCAGATTTTATTTCCATGTGGAAAAAAGCCAAAAATATAACTCCAGTTCTATACTTCTTTAGAACAGTCTCATCTAGGATTAGATGGTTTAATCTGTGCAGTACATTCTGAAATTATTTAATCTGTGCCATACATCTGTACATACAGGAACAGCAGATTATCTTGAGGCAGAATAGTAACTGCCACCAAGAAGAGCAGCCATGTAGCTGACTGAGTAGCTCTAGGTTGAATGAGATATGAATCATATAAAACATCTTTTCATCTCAACCATTGGCTGCTAACAGGATACATTAATGAGGTTGGGCATTAAAGACCCTTATGCACTTATTCATACTGTTAGAAGGAAAATAAGAGACTTATAGGGACTCCTGGCTGGCTCATTAGGTAGAGAGTATGACTTTTGGTCACAGGGTTGTGAGTCCAAGCCCCATGTTAGGCGTGAAGCCTGCTTTTTTTTTTTTTTTTTTTTTTTTTTTTTTTTTTCGTTTATTTATTTTTGAGACAGAGAGAAACAGAGCATGAACGGGGGAGGGTCAGAGAGAGGGAGACACAGAATCTGAAACAGGCTCCAGGCTCTGAGCTGTCAGCACAGAGCCCGACGTGGGGCTCAAACTCACGGACCGCGAGATCATGACCTGAGCCGAAGTCGGCCACTCAACCAACTGAGCCACCCAGGCGCCCCAAGCCTGCTTTTAAAAAGAGAGAGATTTATTGGGATGCCTGGGGTGGTGCAGTCGGTTGAGCATCCAGCTTTGGCCCAGGTCATGATCTCGTAGTTCTTGGGTTTGAACCCTACATCAGGCTCCCTGATATCAGCCTGTTCAGCGTGGAGTCCGCTTCAGATCCTCTGTTCCTCTCTCTTTGCCCCTCCCCACACTTGTGCTCTCCCAAAGATAAATATTTAAAAAGAGAGAGGAGGGGCACCTGGGTGCCTCATTCAATTCAGTTAAGCGTCCGACTTTAGCTCAGGTCATGATCGCACAGTCTATGAGTTTGAGCCCCGCTTGGGATTCTGTGCTGACAGCTCAGAGCCTGGAATTTGGATTCTGTGTCTCCCTCTCTCTCTGCCCCAACCCCACTTGCGCTCTGTTGTCGTCTCTCTCAAAAATAAACATTAAAAAAAGAGAGAGAACTTACAATAACTGATTGATTTTAAAAATGTTACTACTGAACCTTAATAGCTTTATATTTTTATAACCTAAGCTAATTACATTTCTATTTAATAGACTTAAATTTTGTACTCGACTTCTTTTTCCTTTTTTTGTTTTTTTTTTTTTTTTAACAGAAAGTGATTTTAGCGATGATTTTAGTGATGATTTTGTAGAAACTCGACGAAGGCGGTCAAGGAGGAATCAGAAAAGACAAATTAACTACAAAGAAGATTCCGAAAGTGATGGTTCCCAGAAGAGTTTACGACGTGGTAAAGAAATCAGACGAGTTCACAAGCGCAGGCTTTCCAGCTCAGAGAGTGAAGGTAAGGAGTAGATCTCCAGTTTACAGAAGTTTGCACAAGGCAGAAGTAGAAGCTATAAAGTAAGGATTACAGTTCTGTACCATTTCATAGAAATTCAATATAGCCACTCAGATCTTTGAGACAAAACCCGTTATTTTTTTGCTGGGTCACTTTTTATACTTTAAATAAATGATACTTGATAAGATACCAATTTTTAACATCTCCATTGTAATAATTAAATTTTTCATTGAAATAGAAGAGTCTCAGAAAATTATCTGAGCAAGATTTCTTTGGCTCCCCTAATTATTCACAGCCCTCATTTTGAAATAACCTCCTGTGCCCTGAATAACTAAAGAGCTTCAGATACAGGTTTTTGCTGTCTTTCCACCCTGACCATGAACTTCAGTTGGTAACTTTTATTTCTTAATAGTTTTTGCTGTGCTTTAGAGCAGCAGTGTAGGAAAAGCTCTAAAATATGAATTTGTGATATCCATTTAGTCTTATGGTTATTCCAGAGTGCTTCCCAAGTTCATTTTAAATTATTCCAATACCTATGCCCCGTTCTGCTTTGATTTATTTAATTCTCCATTATTTATCACCTATTTTGAAGATTTCAAAGATCCTTATCCATTAAGTTTGAGCCCAAGTCAGGAAAGAAAGGGAAAAAAAGTTTGGACATGAGAGGCTAAAGAAAGGAGGTAAACATCTGATTGTGTATATTTTTCTTCATGTGTCATTAAAGACAAACATAAATTCAGTAATTCAACTTTAGAAAATACTTACTGCACTAGTCACTGTTATAGGCACTGGGACCAGAAGAGTGAACAGCCAAAACATCTCACTCCCGTGTGTAACTCTTCTTTTAATTAGGGGCAGAGACGATGAACAAGATAAATAAGTAGAACCTGTCTTATATTACGTGGCGATAAATGCCGTGGAGAAGAATAAAGGAGCAAGGGAAGTTGGGAGAGTAGCTGGGATCTCAGGGTACCATACGAACGCCTCGCTAAGAAGACCACATTTGAGTCAAGACCTGACAAAATGTCAGGTGTGTGTCCTGCATTTATCTGAAAGAAGAGTGATATAGTCAGATAGAGCAACTAATGTGAAGGGCTGGAGGCAAGTCTGTGCCTGGCTTGTTGAGGGAACAAAGTCAGGGTGGTTGAAGGAGAATGAGTGAAGGGAAGAATAGCTTGAGATGATACAGAGATCAGCGGGGTCAGATCATGAAGAGCAGTAGTCTGCCAACTATGGCCCACCTGTTTGTATAAATAAAGACTTTGTAAATCAAGTTTTATTGGAACAGCCACACCCATTGTTTCTTACATGTTATCTGTGGCTTCTTTTGTGTAAAGTTGAGTAGTTGTAATAGAGACTGTAGGGCCTGCCCCTTACAAAAAATAAAAATAAAAATTGCCAACCCTTGATGAGGAACAGTGCCATGCGGTTGAACTTTCTGCAGTGATGGAAATATTCTTTATCTGTGCTCTTCAATATAGTAGCCACTGGCCTCATGTGGCTTTTGAGCACCTGAAATGTGACTGGTTTAACTGAGGAACTAAATTTTTAATTTTTATTTTATTTAAATTTAAAATAGCCACATGTGATTACTGGCTGCCATATTGGATAGTACAGTAGGCCATTGTATAGTATAGACTTCAGATTTTATTCTGTGTGAGAGCAGAAGTAATTGGAGGAGTTTGAGCAGAGCAGTGATTTGTGTTTTAATTTGCTATGGCAGCTGTGATATGAATAAATTTAAGGGGACAAGGACAGAATCTAGGAGACCAGTTAATAGGCCAGGTGAGAGATGATGGTGGGTGAGACTAGGGCAGCAGTAGTAAAGGGGTGAAAAGCAGTCAGATAATGGATATATTTTGGAGGTAGACTCAAAGGATATATTGTTGGGTTTGATGGCAGAAAGAAAGCAATCAAAAGATGACTGAGTGATTGCAGTAGAGTTGCCAGTAACTAAGATGGTGGAGACCAGAACAGTTCAGGTTTGAGGCAGAGGTTTAGGACCTTAGTTCTGGACACGTTAGGTTTCAGATGCCTGTCTAGAAATTGCACATAGGGATGCCTGGGTGGCTCAGTCAGTTAAGCATCCAACTCTTGATCTTAGGTCTTGATCTCAGAGTCATGAGTTTAAGCCTCATGTTGGGCTCCACACTGGGTCTGAAGCTTACTTTAAAATTAATTAATTAATTAAAAAATTCCAGGGGCGCCTGGGTGGCGCAGTCGGTTAAGCGTCCGACTTCAGCCAGGTCACGATCTCGCGGTCCGTGAGTTCGAGCCCCGCGTCAGGCTCTGGGCTGATGGCTCAGAGCCTGGAGCCTGTTTCCGATTCTGTGTCTCCCTCTCTCTCTGCCCCTCCCCTGTTCATGCTCTGTCTCTCTCGTCCCAAAAAATAAATAAATGTTGAAAAAAAAAATTTTTTAAATTCCAGCATAGATGTTGAGTAGGCAGGTTGATACATGAGTGTGGAATTTAGAGGTTGCCTAAAACAAATATGAGAGTCATCAGCATATAGATGCAAAGCTGTGAGATTAGATGAGGACACCAAGATGTAGGTACAGAAAAAGGAAAGAAGACCTTTCAGGACTATCAAGGACATTTAATAACATGAGTTAGGAGTTGTTAGCACAGTGTTTCAGATGCCCAGAGTTGGGTGCTCAGTTTAATCTTTCCTTATCAGTTTGTTTACATGACTCCATAATTTGAGGGCTAGTGGATAGTAATTTCTCCGTTTGTTACCCCCCCCACCCATCTCCATTTAATTTAAGGGCCATGATTAAGTTATCTGGTTCTCCTCTTTCCTAAAATCTTAGTTAAAAAGCACACTGTGGATCATACCATGGATTGTTATAGACCTGTGAGGAGAGAGAAACCAGGGCAGGTTTGAAGGGAAATACAGATTTATGAGCAGGTTTGAAAGCAGGACATGGGCTGACTATGGGGAGGAAAAGGAGAATTACTTAAATCTGTTATGGTTAACTGTGTCGATGGCTTAAATGTGCTGTTTATTCTAGAGAGCTATATGTCCAAGAACTCTGAAGATGATGAGCTAGCTAAAGAATCAAAGCGGTCAGTTCGAAAGCGGGGTCGAAGCACAGATGAATATTCAGAAGCAGATGAGGAAGAAGGCAAACCATCCCGAAAACGGCTACACCGGATCGAGACAGATGAGGAGGAGAGTTGTGACAACGCTCATGGAGATGCAGATCAGCCTGCCCGTGACAACCAGCCCAGGGTCCTGCCCTCAGAACAAGAGAGCACCAAGAAGCCCTACCGGATAGACAGTGATGAGGAAGAGGACTTTGAAAATGTAGGCAAAGTGGGGAGCCCTTTGGACTATAGCTTAGTGGACTTGCCTTCCACCAATGGACAGAGTCCTGGCAAAGCCATTGAGAACTTGATTGGCAAGCCAACTGAGAAGCCTCAGACCCCCAAGGACAACAGCACAGCCAGTGCAAGCCTGGCCCCCAATGGGACAAGTGGTGGGCAGGAGGCAGGGGCACCAGAAGAGGAGGAAGATGAGCTTTTAAGAGTGACTGACCTTGTTGATTATGTCTGTAATAGTGAACAGTTATAAGACTTCTTTTCCATTTTTGTGCTAATTTATTCCACGGTAGCTCTCACACCAGCGGGCCAGTTATTAAAAGCTGTTTTATTTTTCCTAGAAAACTCCACTACAGAATGACTTTTTAGAAGAAAAATTTCAACAAACCCTGAAGTCTTTCTGTGAAGTGACCAGTTTTGAACTTTGAAGATAAATAATTGCTGTAAATTCCTTTTGATTTTCTTTTTCCAAGTTCATGGTCCTTGGTAATTTCATTCATGGAAAAAATCTTATTATAATAACAACAAAGATTTGTATATTTTTGACTTTATATTTCCTGAGCTCTCCTGACTTTGTGAAAAAGGGTGGATAAGAATGCATTCCGAATCTGTGAGGGCCCAAAACAGAATTAGGGGTGGGAGAAGGCACTTGTGCTTTAGCTTTTTCATATTAAATATATATTATATTTAAACATTCATGGCATAGATGATGATTAACAGACTGTTTAAAAGTTCAAGTCTGTGTTGTTGCAGTTTGAGAACTGTAGATAACATCATACATACATCATTTAGTAACAGCATCCATGATATCAGCTTGTTTACTATCAGAGATAACCACACTTAATAAAGAAGAGATGGAGAAAGTACCATCATTAAAAACTCTAACCTGAGTTTCTGTTATAGCGGAGTTCCTTGTTTAAAAAAAAAATCATCTGAAAAACATTTGTACAGTAAAATGTATAATGAAGCTTTGACAACCAGATTGTGCTAGCAGCAAATTTTTTTTAAACAGCTTTATGCAGTGGTGATGAGGTGGCCTCTAATCTAATATACTATCAATGAAGAGTTATTAGTGATATAAATGTGGTCTTTCTTTAGGCCCAGGTGGACTGTAAACTTTGCAGATAGTGTAACTCTGGTCTTCTGGCCACTCAATATTTAAATATCTGAAATAGCCCATTTTGAAAGAAATACATCTAGACATAACATACATGAAGAGATGCTAAGCTGACAGCGGTATTTTAGCACATTTGAAATGGGGAAAGGATTTTCAGGTGAATTTTAACTGGTCTATTCTTGCCCTTAGTATCTACTTCAAATTGAAGTCTACAAACAAAGCAGTTCCTTTGGGAGGTTTTTAGTTTGAGTTTTAGCATGTATGTGTGTGTATATGTGTGTGTGTATGTGTGTGCATTGGAATTTCCTATCTGCCTGGATATATTAGCAGGGTTTGAATGTAGTTTTGGCCTTTGGCCATTAGACTTCTATTAAAATCATTAATAGTCACATGACCAACAGAGTTGATTGAGAACCGCCAATATACTTAATAGGCATGACATCCATTTCAAACATCTCAATGCTTTAATGAAAGATGAGCCCTTTGTTTCAAGAAAAAAGGGGTTTATAACTAAATATCTAACATGTAATTGACACTAAAATATGAACTTTGTCTTATTACTGTTACAGCTGTAAAATTTCAGGCAGAGCCATAAATAACATTGTATAAAGTGTAGCACTTGTGATTAAACCTTGCCTGTCAAATTCTGAAACCTTCAGCCATTACTTCTGTGAATACTTTTGCCCCGGGATTTGGGTTTTTCTGTTCCAGTGTTGTGTCTGTTGCCGGCAACAGACACACATATCTGCTGCTGGCCCAAGGAACTTTGTTAATTTTTCTTTCCAAATTAAGCATTATATGTGCTAGTCAGTGTATAGTAAAGCACTTCTCTTTTTTATTATTACAGAGCTGGCATTAGACTTGCATTATAAATACCTCTCTAGAAACTTTATACTCCTTTTCCTTCCTCAACAGGTGTTGCCCTGAAGTCGTATCTTTTGGCCTTGAAAGTTTATAGCTGTTGTTCTTCATTTGTTGGTTCTTTTGTTTGTTTTGTTTTGTTTCACTTTAGTTTTGTAGTACCTGCCCATTAATATTTTTGCTTTGATTCTAGCAATGTATATGTATCTGTATAAAAAATAAAATAATGAAAGCAGCCTAAAAATAGGATGCACCAATAGCATGTGGTTCCAAGCAAGTTGTGATTTTTATTTTGAGACAATGTTCCACTGGAAGGGAGGGAAGGGCTTAACATTTACAGACAGTAGAGCAGGGTTATGTAAGGAACCATACTCACTTACCAGGCCTCGTTTCTAGCCAGGTTTGTTCATTTATTTGAAAGTCAGTTAAGAATGTTAGCCTTTTTAACTGTCTAACAGGCAGGCAATACAAGAATTCCTACTAGTGCAAGGTAAGTGGTTAGAATGTGCAGGTGGCCTCTCCTGCCATTCTTCCTCTACCATTTTAGTCCTGCAGCTGGGTAAAGCCACTACCGTGTAGAAATTCCCATGTACCCTGTCTCTACCTCTGGACACACCAGCTCCTGCTTCCACCACTCTATAGTTAAGCAAGCGATAAGAAGTGTTCGATGGGTAGATTATTTATTTTACAGGATGCCTAATGTGAAATAAGGAGTTATTTTTACCCTTCTCCTGCAGAGTAAAAGGTCATTGTTAGAGCAAAGACTGAGTATTCAATTTAGCATAGTTCCACTGACATGGGTTATGATACCACTTTTGCTGCCTATTAATTTACTGAACTTGAATTAAATGTTTGTGAACTTGATAGTGAATGTCTGCCTGCTAACCTTACATTCTGATTAAGCCAATTAACTGTTTCATCTACAAAGACTGCAGAAGCCTCTGATACTTATAAGTTATTATGCAGACAGATTAATTGTGGGCGGTTAAATGTTGAACAGTTCAAAAACAGTTCTGCTGCTTGGTGACTAGATTTAGTCCCTCATGGAGTCTTGTGTTCACTGAAATGTTACCTGAACATGCTTTGAAGAAGTTAAAAAAAAATGTTAGGAAAAAGTCATTGTTCTGTATCCAAAGATATAATTCAGTCATTAGGAACTGGACAGAGTATAAGCAAGCGGCTCATTTGAGTTTAGAACATCCTGGATCCTTAGAGTACTAACCACGGATTTAGATTCATCATAGCTGCTATATAATAGAGCCCTTTAATACTTTCATCTTTTTTAAATACAGATGGACTCCCAGTGTCAAACTCCACAATCTATAGCGCGTGTATTAAGGGGAGATGCTGTTTAGTACTCAGGATATTTCGTTTGCAATTTCCGTAAAGGTTTGAAAACTAGCCAAATTTTCACAAAGCAGAAGCTTTCAAGTAAAATATATGAAAGGAAATCAGACTGAAAATACACATTTTGGTTTTGTAGACTTGTGTTGACAAAATAGTGTTTAGTGTAAAACATTCTCCGTTGTTGGCACATTATTAGAGAATGATGGCAGAGAGATTTTCAAGAGTATACCTGATAATACTGAGGTTGGGTTTCCTTGACACATCTCTTTCCAGCTGGTCAAGGTTGCAGATGCAGAGAAGAAAGAGGAGTTGCATTTAGAATAAATTCATGTCTACTGATAGTCTTTTTTTTTTTTTTTTAATATGACCTGCCAAAGAACCAAGGACTTCGAATGCTAAAGACGTTGTTGAAAAAAACAATTTTTAAACAAGTTAATTTTAAAAGGATATTATAAGCTCCAGTTTTCACTTTTGGGTTGATAGGACCCATCCCTATTATAATATGCATTTGAACAAAGTATACGTATTAAAAATATATATAGGCGTGTACTTATTTAGAGGTAAAATGGTGGGGAAATGTTACCGATTTTTAAATGGGATTGATGGAATTTACTTTGTCATAAAGAATGCCTTTTTAGCTTATGTTTGTGGGGTTAAGAGTTGTTAACCATTAGCTAGTTCTACCATATGACTGAAAGGAACACAGTGAATCTGTAAGTCTAATATTTAGAAAAAGTGAACTGTACCCTTCAACAACACAGTGGAACAGGTCCATGATTGCCTCACAGCTATAGAACACGTATTCAAAGATCCAGATCTTTTTTTTAATAGAATATACATACATGTATGTATATATATATATATATAAGTTAATATGTATATACATACTTTAGATGTTAGCAGAAATGAAAAGTGAGTTTCAAATCATTAATTGACATTGTAAAAAGACATAAGACAAATAATTGTAACTGATGTGGAATTATGAACATTTAATTGCAGAAAGTCTAGAGAAACATAGCGAAGTTTCTCTTCTTGGTTTGACATTCTAAAAAAATATTCCTGGTTCTCTAAGAAGTAAGAATGCCAAGACTGCATATCTGCTGTAATCTATCTAGTCCTCTGCTTAATATTGTTCTTAAACTTTGTTAGAATAAAATCCATTCCTATTTTATCCACCATTCCCAGTGTGTACCTGTAAACCTACTTTGGAAGTGGCAATTCATCTGCTGATTTTCTTATTTTTATACCAATCCTGAAAGACAAGGCCCTTTGCTATCAATGTATTTAAGCTGGGTTATTACATGTACACTTAATAGTCTGTTTTTGAAATATTTCACTTCAACTTAAATGATAATTTAACATTTTTTGAGTGCCAAGAATTGCTAAGTAACTATGTAACATATACTGAGGAGTCATTCCCCAGCAAGCAAGCAGTCTTCATAAGCCAAACTGTAGTGTGCTTGGTATATAACCACTTTAGATTGTAAACTCAATGCTTCTTTTTTTACTCAGATAAACCCTCTCAGAAATCGGTTAGAATAGGATTACATGAATGGATTTTGTCCTTCATTCTGGTCATGTAAGCTCAATTTTTTTTTTTTTTTCATTTTATATTTACACCATTTCTTTCTGGAAAATGCTGCAAACCCCAATTCTGGCACATTGTCATTTCAGTTAAGGAAAATGTTATTTTAATTTTAATAACTTTTAAGATATAACTATCCTATGCATAAGTTATACGAGAGGGCATAACAAATTATTAGATGAGTAGAAATTTATTAATTAAGCTCCTTAGACATTTTGAATGAGAAAAAAACATTTAAAGGAACTACATTTGTGTTTTTTGCCAAACCGGTACAAGCTAGTAAATGCACTAAAGGACCGAGTGACCTGCCTTGTTCATTTTGCCACTGGATGATGTAAGTTAA